AATTTAATTATAATACAGAAAATAAATACGGAAAATCTTATTTGTCTTATAACTCATGCAGTTGGTGTCCAATATGTAACTTGCTGTCAGATTTACTTTGTCACATGTTTGTAAAGACCCCTTTCATGCACATGTAATCCTCGTAGCTGCTATCATGACGTTCAATGACCTGGTAGTTATAAATAATCCTATCGACCTTCCAGGATAGTTAACAGCCATCTGTAGCATGCAATTTCTTACATAGGTAAAGCATATGAACAATGTGCCATTAGTTAAAGACTCAGAATCCGTGCTCAAGTATTCATCTGCTTCTAACTCTCGTCATGTCCATTTGAGTTTATACTTTTTTTGTACTAGGTTTGTAATATTACTTAATTGTAAGTTGTGAGGCTCCTTTTACTGATATCCTGTAGATAGATTATATATTTGTAAATTCAATCTAGTAGTATGAAGGGCTTTTTCTGGGTCATTGCTAATTGATGGTAGGGCTTCCCATCACGGTGGCAAGTTGACCATATCACTTAAATTATGCATTGTTGATAATAGATGATTGCCGCACAACAACGACTCAATATTTTTGACTCATCACCGGTCGTACTAATGATCTCTAATCTCTACGGTATCACGGAAAATTCGGGTCAGTTTTAGTGCATTAGCTTCATAGTTAACCGGAAATTTCTGTAAGCATTAGGATATTTTTGAAATGTAATCAAGTTCAAAGCATTGTTTATTGAGTGTGCTAACATCCCTGAATCTAATCTTTGACAGATGTCCCATAGTATCACGATATTCTTAGGCAGACTGACCATGTATGACCACAGTCTAAGGCTAGCCAGGTCAGCTCACATGATCCTAAATTTCCTGTGTGTGACTGATAGCCAGTAACTGGGTTGCGTAATCAATATTGTTGGAAGGTATACTACGCAGGCTGGTCGGTCAATCTACTTTTGCCAGCCGATCTCGTGAAATTCGTTAGTGCCACATGTCCGGATTAAATACGCTGTGTTTAGTCATTAAATTACCTAACCATTGTTAAGTAGTAGCACGGCTCGCTTTTCTGTTTCGAAGCAGAGCTTCAAAATCATGTATGCCCTTCTGGGTTGAATTTCAGTAGGTTATGATGCTCAGTTAAGTACGACTGTCTAAAGGTCAGGGAACTAGATTCAGTCATTACTAAGGTTCAGCAGTATGAGTTTTAATGGTCGACACAATACGCAGTTCCTGAGGCTCAGTTCAACTAATATCGATCGTCACAGTTCAGGATGGGGATCCCCCTGTTAAGTACTGCTCGATCAAGTTCCTGAGGTCTGTGCTAGCCGACCAAATTCCTCTTCCTTCTCTTGGTTGTAGCTAGTGACTTTAATAGAAAGTCCTTGTGAGTAGTGTGAGAGTGGTTTAAATAATACTGATTGTCCGTCTTGCGTCGACAAACAGCCTGTAAGATAGTTGGTTGATACCTGTAGTCAAACAGTGACGAAGATCCGTCACTTCCTCCCCTTAAGTTGTTAAACTAGCGTTGCTCTATAACCCTAGTTAGTTTGATATTCCTCCGAATGAGCTGATGCAAATTGTGGTGACTTAAATCAATAGATATATTTGCGATGCCGTGTGCAACTTTTATTTGTTTATCGTAAGCTCAACGAGAGAAAATCAACTGGAAAGATAACCAGTAGTAATCGTCTTACAGTAGTGGAGATCCGTCGAAACGAACTATGTCTAAGAATATACCGACGCTAGGAATCTTCCACAAGCAGATTAGTTTCAACCCTAGGCTTATGGTAATAATTGTCTTGTATGTCTCGCCTAGTGAGCTTGTATTGTTATGCAGTACCGAGACAAGTCGAAAATACTGGATATACTCAGTTGTTACGCATTAGGACTTTCATGGGTTTTTAGAAAATACATGCTTACCCGTTAACACTTCACATACGCATAGGTGTTATGTATGACTGTAAGTAATATCAGCCCCACCTGAGTTTTTAAATCTCTGATCTATCACAACTTGGAAGAATAAAACTTACTAATATCCAAGCGCAGAGTCAGGCAGATAATATAATAGTTCACGTTAAAATACACCTATTGAGGTTGAAGAATGTGTCGCTCATATTAAACCACTGAGTAATGAATAGATTGAAAGGTCAACCATAGATTATAGATGCAGCTTATAATGTCTAGTCTAGGGCATTGACGCGATTTTGAGACAATACATCTGGATTTAGCGTAAGTAACATAGTTTTCCTGTGATTCATACTCGTAAACGTCTAAACATCGTATGCATTTATCTAAGCAGCATTACTACCACGGACTATCGGGTTAAGGTTCATCAGCAGCAACCTAGAACTTCGTATATAAGTACATCAGTCAAAGTTGCTATACAACATTAGCACACAGAGATCGAATTGTCAATTGAAATCCCATAATAGGAGAGATAGTAAAAAAATTAGCAGTAATCGGATAGATTATGGTTCAAAACAATTAGTCCCTTTTATAAATTTTGATAGAACTGTGCGAAGACGTAATTGATCTGAAAAATGTGATGTATTTGCGCTATACATTTCGAACAGTCTGGTCATATAAAATGCCTTGACAAGTAAATAAGTGTGTGACCAGATTGTTCGAAATGTACAGCGCAAATACCCCACACTTTTTCAGATCAATTACGTCTTCTCACTGTTCTATCAAGATTACGGTTCAACGATATTATTCAAGAAGTAGAATTTAGTGAAATAAACTTAAAAAGATAAAGGTGATGAGGAATTCTGAAGGTTGGGATTTAAGGAGACATAAAGAATGGGTGCACCTGCGCCATTGCAAACGGTTTCGAGCCATGTCATTCAGAGTCTCTAACCATCGACTACTATCATCTCACGGGCCCCAACCAGGTAGCCGACACCTACCAACATGACTCACTTCACTTGACAGTGACTTCATGGATTTCTGCCATGTTTCGATTTGGCCACCCCTAGCTTTCGTCCAACCTATTCCTGCACCACAAAACATCGCTCCACGAGGCAGTCGGTGGTTGGGAATTCGTATCTTATGTCCCAACAACTCCAACTGATGAAGTTTCAATACTTCATCTATTGACCTGCCATCCTTACCTAGTGCCCGTTTCCTAACAACCCCATTGCTCACTCGGTTGTTAAGGTTCACACAAATATTGTGACCTAAAGCAACATAAATGTGAATCGTTAGCCGTTGAATTCATCTCCCACATTGCAAGCTTCAAAATTATTCCAATTTTTAATCCTACATATCCAATTTCGAATAGCTAATATTAAAAAAACGATATTCAATCAATCAATCGAATTTAATGTACGACAGCACATGTGTATATTGGTTCCAACTGCCACAGTACATTAATACGAGATAAAATTGTCAAGGTAAATCTCAGAGCAAAGGGATAATAATAATTATGGGGATTTAGAGGCTTATGATCTAAGGGAAAGCAGTGATTGTATGTAGGCGATTAGAAATGATTCTCATCCGTTATTTAGAATCTTTGATCATTGATTACGATAACCACATGAACCCCAACTAGATAGTCTTCACTTTGTCAACACAGCTGAATTCAACAGTTAGGGTTTTCATGCATTGATAGCATGTCTTGGTTACTTCTAGCTTTCCTACAACTGTTACACTAATCGTACGTCAGGGTAGATGGTGGAAAAGCAAATGTAATACATATCATAAACATCTCACTCGGTTTACTACAATACCAACCGATTCGCCATACTCGCTTAATACTCTGCGTATGAGCTTGGAGATTGTTAATCGGTTAGTCTCCAAATATTATTTTGAAAATACTAATAGTTAAATACTAGTATCATACGGATATTTTCGATTTGTAAACACCACGTTACACACCCACAAAGTACAACTGAGCCAACTTGTCCTTTGGTTGGCAAACGGATATCACATTTACACTTTAACTGGTGCTAGCTGATTAGAGCCAACCGGGCTTTCTAAGTCCCTGTCCAGATCTCCCAAGACACCAAATCATCCAGGCTGATAAAACAAGTGATCAACACACTCAACCACCTCATTTCTTATCATTAGTTCCGGCACTAATGTACAGGGATCACAAAGAAACATTTTACGCTTACAAGAAGAGAAACGCGTCCCAAACATGGTCGCTTTGCTGTTTAAGACGGTCGGACGATTGTACATTTTTTCAACGCCTTCTTCAAAACAGAACTACACGATCACTTTGTTATTTCTAAAAGAATATCTGTGATGTTATTGTGATAAGAACAGTAATTACAGATTTTTAGCGATCGATTTATTATTAAAAATGATAGTAAAATAAAAAAACAAGATCTGTTTTTTGTTTTGTCTTAGCAAACTTTAGACTCTAATGCTGTTTTTGCACGAGTAAATGCTGAAACAAATGCACCCAACTGTAATCTCTCTGATGCTCCTTGGGATAAACGATTTTCTATATCGGACAGTGCAATTAATAAATCACAACGTATTGTATCCGGTAAATCAACTAAAATATTAATAAATATGGGGAAAAATTTCTATGTAATATCACAATCTAATTTATATGAAGAAATTGAATGGAAAATACTTAGTAGATTGACATTTGAAAGCATAGATTATGAGATTTGTATTTCAGTGTGAACATGTACAACATACATACATACAACTGATGAGTATCAGTTAGGAAGAGATGCTCTGTTTCGATTGACAACAGAGTAAATTAAATAAAACTAGTAACTATCAAGTCAGTCAGTCAGCTACATCATAGAACCTGGTACGTACGTACGTACAACAGGTCAAGTTGCCATACCATATTAGTTAGTACACAGAGATCGAATTGTCAATTCAAATCCTATAGTTGAAGTATTAGTAGTAATGGATAAGATTAGGGTTCGAAGAAATTATTCAAGAAGTATAATTTAGTTAAATAAATTTGCAAAGAGGAAGGATGAAGGTGATGATGAATTCAGTAGACTAGAATTTTAGAGAACAAAAACAATGGATGCACCTGTACCATTGCAAACGATCATGAGCCATGTCATTCAAGGTCTCTAACCATCGATTACTATTATCTCGTCGACCCCAACCAGGTAGTCGACACCAACCGACATCGTTCAAGTCCAGTTGTCAATGACTTCATGGATTTGTGCCATGTTTTGTTCTGGGTACCCCGAGCTCTCCTCCAACATTCTCCTACACCACAAAACATCGCGACAAGGCAGTCACTGGTTTGACATTGGTAACACATGTCACAACCACCTCAACTGATGACAGACAGACAGATAGAACGCAGAGCTTCGTACGTAAGTACATCAGTTCAGGTTGCCATACCACATCAGCACAGAGACGCAACTGTCAGTTCAAATCCAAGAGTGATAGCGATATTAAAAGTATTAGCAGTAATGGAGAAGATTAGGGAGCGAAGATATGATTCGAGAAGTATAATTCAGTAAGATAAGTTTAGAAGGAGTAAGGTAGAGATTATGAGGAATTCAGAAGGTTAGAATTAGAGAGAACACAAAGAGCGGATGCACCTGCGCCATTGCAAACGATTCTGAGCCATGTCGTCAACTGATGAAGTTTCAATACTTCATTTATTGATTTGCCATCCTTACCTAGTACCTGTTTCTCTTTTTTTAAACTGATTCTTCTGGGGTATATATCTCGAATGATGCATATGATCATAATATTTTTTTTGATTACTGCTAACACTTCCACTACATCTACCACTATGAGATTTGAATTGACAACTGCATCTCAGTGCTAATGTGGTATGGCAACTTGAACTGATGTACGTACGTACGAAGTTCTACGTTGTAACTGACTGACTTATCTACAAATTTAATGTACGCAAAGTAAAATTAACTAGACACTCACTGATAACAAATGTATTGTTTTACTAATATACATAGAGCTGATCAAAAAGTGATCGAATAAGAAGGCCAATTGATGAGAATGAGAAATGTCCCAAAAGAATGAATGGATATCATTGGTCAAGAAATGTAATCATTCCCTAAGGCGATAGTGGAGTGTAGGTATAGAAATGAATAGATATGTATAGGATTTAATAGCCATAGGAAAGTTCTCGTTCAAGTAATCAGTGTTAGGGGCTTAGCGCTTAGGATACTTACCTGTAGATCATTAAAATTTCTATTCCGTTTGACTTGTATTCTTGAGGAAAAGATGGTCATCTCAACTTAAAATATGCTATTTTTCATATCCTACATTTTATACACACCACCTTGCCATATTTACTCAAAATGTTGAATATTATTGAAATACAGGAGATTTAGTAGACTAGTTTGTGTTCGTTCATGTGTGGTTACGAGTATGAGGGCAAAAGTCACTTCTCGGCTACCCAGACCATGGAAGGGTAGGAGGGATTCGATTATGACCGATTTGGTCTCGCTTGCTGTTACGGGTATGAGAGCGGCTGTCACTTCCCGGCTGCCCACACCGTGGAAGGTTGTTTCTTGGGGAACCTGAAAAGGAAGGTAGATTAGTGTCGGTCTTAGAGACCTGAGAGCGTGACCTCAGAGACCAAGGGACAACTGCTTGAGACCGGTCATCCACGGCCTTTTTATAAGTAGTTTTTAAAGTGCTGGCTCCGCTCTTCAAATGACTTTACCCCCGGAGACGGAAATCCGTGATGTAAGGTGAGGTGTAACATCTTTAGGGTCGACCTTTTCTAACCACTTCCTCTTTTGTGAGAAGGCAGCATCACTGCAGATGCTAGTTGTCTGAGTGAAACACGTTACTGCTCTCACACCCTTATACAGTTAACAGTACAACTCCACCCACAGACATTGAGTAGCTGCTTTTTAGTTTCATCGTTCTCCACTCAACCTGTCTGGCATGGTAAAACCTACAGGAACAAATAGTCCAGCCAATATAGCTCGGATGGGTCATTACAATAGGCTAACAGAACCACCACATCAAGGTAGCAGCTACGGTCAGGCAATTTAGTACTTACTTACTTAAGCCTGTTACCCCCAATGAAGCATGGGCCGCCCACCAGTTTTCTCCAATCAACTCTGTCCTCGGCTTCCCTTTCCAGTTCTGTTCATTCCTCTCATATCTTTCTCTATTTCTCGGCGTAGTGTGTTCTTTGGCCTTCCTCTTTTCCTTTAACCATGAGGGGTCTATTTGAGGGCTTGTCTTGTGACGCAGTTCCGTGCTTTTCTCAGTGTGTATCCTATCCACTTCCACCACTTCCTGATTTACTCCTCCACTGGAATCTAGTTTGTTCTGTCCCAAAGTAAGTTGTTGCTAAATGCGTCTGGCCAACGAATCCGAAGTATTTTGCGTAGGCAACTGTTAATAAACACTTATATCTTCTGGATGATGGCTTTCGTAGTTCTCCAAGTTTCTTCTCCATACAATAGAACTGTCTTTACATTTGTATCGAAAATCCTTATTTTGGTTTTGGTTGAAAGTTGTTTGGAGTTCCAGATATTTTTCAATTGTAGAAATTTAGCCCTTGCTTTTCCAGTCCACGCCCTCACATCTGCACCGGATCCACCTTGGTTGTCGATCATGCTGTCAAGATATGTAAAGGTGTTAACGTCCTCTAAGGCATCTCTATCAAGTGTGATTTGGTTGGTGCATGTTGTGTTGCATCGGAGAATTTCGCTTTTCCTTTTATGTATGTTGAGATCTGCTGCTGCAGAGGCTGCTGCTACACTGGTCGTCTTCTCTTGCATTTGTTGTTGCGTGTGCGATAGAAGAGCCAGATCATCTGCGAAGTCCAGATCGTCCAGCTGCGTCCTAACTGTCCAGTTGATACCGTGCTTCCCTCCAGATGCTGACGTCTTCATAATCCAGTCGATCACCAGGAAAAAGAGAAAGGGTGAAAGTAAACAACCTTGCCTGACACCGGTCTTCACCTCGAAAGAGTCTGTTAGCTGTCCTTCGTGTACAGTTTTGCATTTGAATCCATCATAAGAATTCTGTGTGATGTTAACTAATTTCTCAGGTACACCGTAGTGTCAAGGCAATTTGGTAGACAATACAATTTAATCTTAAAAAAATATTAATGAATTTTTTTTCTCAAAGAAGGTAAAAAAAAACTTACTACGCATTATTAATGGATGAATTTCTGTAATTATATCTTGTAATGCAATACCTTTTAAATTTTTCACTGCTGTAATATCTGAAAATATATTTTTTATAAAAATAGGAAAGAAAAGCCGTTAATTTTTTTTCTTTAATCAAAAACCAACTTTCAGTTGATGAAGCAATAAGGTAAAAAAAAACAATGCTCGAGGTGGATAAGTAAGCCACACACACACACACATTACAGAAATTACTCAGTCAGTCAGTCAGATGCAACGTAGAACTTCGTACGTATGTACATCAGTTCATGTTGCCATACCACATTAGCACACACAGAGATATTAATTGTCAATTCAAATCCCATAATAGTAGTAGAGGTAGTAAAGGTATTAGAAGTAGTCGAAGAGGTTAGGATGAGAAGATATTATTCAAGAAGTATGATTCAGTGAGATAAGTTTAGAAAGTAAAAACTAGAGGTGTTGAAGAATCCAGAAGATTAGGATTTGAGAGGACACAAACAATAAATGCTTCGGTGACATTGCGAACGATTTTGAGCCATGTCATTCAAGGTCTCTAACCATCGATTATTATCATCTCGCGGACCCCAACCAGGTAGTCGACAATTACTGACATGGCTGACTTGTCAATAACTTCATGGATTTCTGCCATGTTTTGGTTTGGTCGCCCCTAGCTTTCGTCCAACCTATTCCTACACCACAATATCTAGGCATACGCAACACATGTCCGAACCACCTCAACTGATGGAGTTTCATTACTTCATCTATTGATCTGCCAATCTTACCTAGCACCCGTCACAGAAACTACTCAAGTATGTCCCAAATCAAAATCCTCAACGTTAAATCAGTCAGTCAGTCAGTTACAACGTGGAACTTCGTACATGAGTACATAAGTTCAGGTTGTCACACCGCATCTGCACAGAGAAGCAACTGTCAATTCAAATCCCATAGTGCTAGAGATAGTAGAAGTATTAACAATAATGCAGAAGATTAGGGTTGAGAGATATGATTTGAGAAGTATAATCCAGTGAGATAAGTTTCCTCAACGTTAAAGAACACATCGTCCAAGAAATGGAAGGCTATTGCACACGATTTTGAGCTATGTCGTTCAAAGTCTCTAACTATCAGTTAGCAGTGTCTTCATCGTTATGTTTGGAAATATTTAGTTCAAATGTCGACTTAGGAAGCACTGAGTTTCTTATTTCAAGAATGATATATGTGTGCTCAATATAAACAAATTTGGGATTAATATGTGATCACTAGTGATTAGTTTCGAGAGAAACTTTCCCGAGTTCTAATGAGAAAAGCTGTGACTAGTGGGACTAACCTGTGTCAAGTGTGGGACAGTTACTCACCGAGAACAGTCGAAGATGGTTGGAGTTAGACTCTAACACCGTTGGATACCGACAACTGAATTGAGTTATGCTGATAAGTGTAGACTACCTGGTTGAGGTCCGCGATAGTGTCGTGGCTCAAAATCGCTTGCGATGGCGTAGGTGCATCCATTCTTTGGCTTACCTCAAATCCTATTTTTAAGTTTATTTCACTAGATTTTACTTTTTGAATGATATCTTCGAACCCTAATCTCTCCGACTACTGCTAATACTTCTACTACATCTACTACTATTGGATTTCAATCGACAGTTGCATCTCTGTGCTAATGTGGTATGGCAACTTGAACTGATGTACGTACGTATAAAGTTCTACGTTGTAATTGACTGACTGGATACCGACTCACTGATCCATAGGTCAAGTGTTTATGAGTAAGACTGAAGGCTCTGGGTCCGAATCAGGGATACGCACTGCTTCGGAGTGCCATTCTATGATGAAATGGCTGTACAGTGCTTCCAAATTTTCAATAATGGTTTGACGTATATCATTTCATTATTTCAGTGGTGTTCTTTTAATATTTACAACTATTAAACCATATCATAAGTGATCAAATACAATAAATTCTGATACGATCATTAAGATAACTTACTGTGATAAGCAGTACTGACCGGTTCATTCAGTACATGATCCAATAATGATCGAACCTCAGTAGGTGAAGGATATGCAACACAAGCATAAACAGAAGTACCGTTTACAGTTTTTGAAGACATTGATGTGCTCTTCAAGGAGTAGAGGATAAACAACGTACACAAGAATACAATATATGAAATCTCTAAGAAAATATATTCGTTTTGTGTAAATTCTTGTAAGCTTCGAAATATCTTAAAGTGTGTACTGCAGATAAAACACTACAGAGTAGTCATGCGAATGGTGGACAGGGATTTGAAATGCACTGGTTAATCTTTTCAATTCTATCTAACTGTTTTTTTTTATCTCTAACCAGTATCTTATGCGCATGTAGGCTTCGATTGCATTGGACATGATCCTACCAACTAACATTCTTAGTACACATTTGAAATCATCAATCAATCAATCATTGTTAGACCACCATTAGAAGCCTGGAAGCACTGGACGGCCCTTTCGTCCTGGTACGGGACTCATCAGCATTCTTTGCGCTGGTAGTTACAAACGCTCGAAATGGATGATAAGAGCAGGATGTAAGTAGTGAGACATTACATGTCATGAAGGATACTTGAATTGACTAATATTTAAGGATTTTTCCTGACTCCGTCGATGAGGTACTGGAGACCCTGTAGCTCAGTAATAGTAATAACATTATTATGAACATAAGTAGATAACTCAATATAAATTCTTTATGAGTATTAAGATGAATAGTTTGTGAAATTGTATAGTTTTATTATCTTTAAAAAATCAACAACTCGTAGTGTAAGTTAGAATACGCAGGTTTGAATCCCATCATTCGCAGATACTATGCGTTTGCAAATAACCAAGGGAAATAATCTGCATTCATAACGCCTGTTATCCCTAATGAAGTATAGGCCGCTGATCATATCTCCCAACCTTAATCTTAGAATTTCGTTGTGCTCTATGAAATTCTAATCTTTTGAATTCTTCATCATCTCTATCTTTCTCATTCTAAGAACATCTCACTGAATTATACTTCTTGAATCATATCTCCCAGTCTTTATCTTCTCCATTACTGCTAATACTTCTACTAATCATCATCATCATCAACAGAAACATAGAACTTTGCACGTAAGTACAGCAGTTCAAGTTGCCATAACACATATCACACCTATCGACCACTATGGGATTTGAACTGACAGTTGCGTCTCTGCGCTGATGGATTATGGCAGCCTGAACTTATGTACTCATGTACAAAGTTCTATGTTGTAACTGACTGACTAACATAGGCTGCTGATCAGCAATCTCCAATCGTACGGTTGAAATTTGATCGGTTTAATTATTAAACTACTACGTTATTGTGAAGTCGATGGTTGTAAAAGCTAACAATCACCGTGATGTAGTTGAAATTTGACATTGTGTTTTTCGTAAACAATGAAACATGATGGTCAATACAATTTAGCTTCATACCTTAAACAACCCTTTAATGACCACTAATTTTATTTGTTAAGCATAATAAATCTCTTAATGGTTTTTAGTGTTGGAAATAAACAAATAACCGTATTTTGCCCAGTTAAAATTTATATCAACGAGGCTACAAATTGTTGATAGCAATAAATCAAAATGTTTTGTAGTATCAGTTTGAGTTCATACAACGAACCGGTAAGTCACAGTCACCTGATACATATGTATCGGTTCAAGTCTCTATACGCAATCAGACGAATGAGATGAAATAAAAGTAGTAGTAGGAGTAGCAATATCAGTAGAGAAAATTAATTACAGAAGGAATAAGATGTCTTCTTGCAGAAAGTAATGTTAATGATCTCAAAGCATGTTCATTGACAAGTGGACTGAGTCATGTTGGTAGATGTAGGCTATCTGGTTGGGGTCCGCGAGACGAAAATCACCAATGGTTAGAGACCTTGAACGACATGGCTCAGGTGCATTTCTCTTTGTGTTCTCTCTAATTCTAACCTTCTGAATTCCTCATAATCTCTACCTTTCTCCTTCTAAATTTATCTCGCTGAATTATACTTCTCCAATCATATCTTTGCTCCCTAATCTTCTTCATTACTGCTAATACTTTTAATATTGCTATCACTCGGATTTGAACTGACAGTTGAGTTTCTGTGTTGATGAGGTATGGCAACTTGAACTGATGTACTTATGTACGAAGTTCTGCGTTGTATCTGTCTATCTAAACGCCTGTGAGGACGTTTTACAACCGTGTCTTTCTCTGTTTGTTTGATGTCTTCAGACTTGATGCAACCGAAGCAGAGAAAAAAAACATCACTCAAATAACTCTATAAATACAACTAGTTTACCATAAAAACACTTCCGCTAGGTGATTTCATAAACAATGGGAACCTAGAACATACGAATACAAATATAACTACAAGTGAAGTGAGCTAATCAGAAATTTCATAAGGATATTTGGTGCTTAGTGTTTACCATATCTTTAACCCATACAATAAAATTGAGAACATAATTAAGATTAGATTACCTGCAATAAGTTAATAGATTTACGCATATCTCCAGATGCAAACTGATAAATCGCTTTTACTCCATCATCTGTTAAATCAACACTAAACAAAAATGAAGAGATGCATTCGTTACTTTTCGTTTGATGCAATTTTTCGAAGACATATACTGACATCATTGAACGCCAGTGGTGCAAAACGGAACTTAGTACATCGCGATTGTATCGCAGGAATAATTTTCGACAGATAATTACAAATCAAACAAAATCGGGCATTTTCCGTATATTTTTCAATAACTGAGACATATACAAAAACAAACAGTTACTTCTCCGTAATGCATTTTGAGCATCTTTTGTCATAGAATCAGCTTCGTCTAGAATAACCAGCTTGAATTTTCCACTAAAGTACTTATGTAAAAGCGAGTATCTTACGCGAAAAGAGTTTTTGTGCTAGCAAAACTCAGTACTTGTTCACGAACAACATCAATTCCACGATCATCGGATGCATTAAGCTAAAATTGAATTATATCTACACACACGCACCTCCAAGACCATGGATGCAAACTGACGAGAGTACAGACGCTTTGCAGCAGCTAAAATAGTACTAGTTTTTCCCGTTCCTGGTGGGCCATAAAACAGCAAATGTGGTAGCTGATCATTATCAATAAATCTTTTTACTACAACAACAGCTAAATTAAAGGGCAACAAATACTGGTTTTCGAAATGTCGTCATGACTTATAAGATCTTCTATTGAATCAGGTCTGTACTTCTCAATCCTGAAATAAATCTTAAGTTTTAGGTATAGAATACCAGGGTATCTCCACCATAATGCGCTACGATTTTAAAAAACACTCAGCGGCACACAGCCTTGGACGATGATGCGATTGAAGTAGTCATCAAACTTCTAATATCCAATATCTTTTTCACCAGCTGTTATAAATCAATCGATTTCTTTGCTCTCGATTCCTGTTCTTTTGGTACGGTTCCAGGTGTTTGGTAGTGTTCAATGAATGGGGTCCAGCCACTCGACTGTCTAATTCTAGTCAGTTGGCAGTTGATTGTGAGTTTGCATGTCTCGGGATTTGAATGAAAACGTTTGTTTCAGGGCAGTATGATTTCTGGATACGAGCAGCTATCACAATACCAAACTGCAGATCAGTTAGTCGCAATGTGGAAAATAATAAGGAGAAAATTCTAATCCTAATAGAGGATTTCAGAACTAAATAATATACAAATGATTTATTTTATTAACTGGTTGTCAAGATTGTGAGAGAGGACCAAAGTGTGAACAAGGGAGAGGAAACAGGGATAATAGGCGAGACAGGTTAAGTAAGGGATCTGAGGAGATGGCAATGATAACAACTAGCAGGTCTGAAGATAAACATCATGAATAGCTTGCCTAAGAGGGAGATGATAATCCGTATGTGAGTACGTGATTAAAAAGTCTCTTAATAAAGCTGTCCACTGAGGGGGGCTGTGGTCACCTCGGCTGGGAGAGTATTGCAAGTTGCGACGACTCGCAATCAGAAAAAATGTGCACGAACCTGATTATTCGCTGTCTGACGTGCAATCTTTCGAGGATTGCCTCGAGGGGATTGGTAGTGATGCATCTGCAAGATGTCTCTTTTAAGCATAGGGCGTGCGACGCCATTGTAAACCTCTAGGTGTGAGCGCGCTTATGTATTGAAAGCGTTAAGGATAATTCTAGAGCGATTAGATCAAGTTGCCTTCGAATAAAGTGAACTGGTGTGGAGACTTACATTGGTTATTAAACAGAATCGAAGAACTGATTATTGCTTGTGACGTAATCAAATATTCATAGCTCAGAACTAGAAAACTGTCAGTTCTTTTATAGATGAATCTGGGTTATTGCCTAAATTTCAAAGTTAAATTATTTTGCTGTCTGATATCGTCACCTGTAATCACTTACAAGTAGTCCTCTCTATTCCAGACGGTACTGAAGGGTAGTCGTGACATTCCTAGTTATCTGTTACGACAGTTTATATATCCACTTATTGCCGAGAAATGAACTCGCCTCCCTCTGATAACCTTCACATTATATCTACCAACTGTGTATGTAAAATGTGACAGAGAGAAAAACTATAAACTATATTGTGTGGTGAAAGTTTGACTTCTGGACCACTGAGCCTCTATCTGACGTTGTTAATGCCCGATATCGCTCATTTCATACGACGCTTCTAGAGTTGTGATGGTGGTCTAACGTTGATTGGTTCGTGATTTCAAAGTAACTCGAAAATCTACACAACCCTATAAAGCAAATTATCGTCTGATCACTAATGATTAGCTCTGTGGGAAAATTTCTCCGAGTTCTACTGAAAATTCGGGGCCAGTGGAGTTTCAGCCCAGGTCGGTTGTGAAGCAGTCCTCACTTAAGACAGCTGACGAGGTTGCGAAAGATCGTGGATTGATCCAAGGTCGACATCAAAGTCGGATACCGGCTCAGCAGACCAAGGTTTAAGCGATCGTGCTCAAGACTGAAGTTAAATGGAATCGAATCATGCGAGTAGCAAAAGTCATGGATGCCTACTGCTAATGAGTTGCATTTCGGAACAAAACGGCCGTCTTTGATTGCCTACAGGTTTCCAGTGGTGGTACAACGTTCCAAAGAAATCCAAGAATCTCCGCAGCCTTCTAATCACAATTACCATGTGCTTACTATTGCCTGGCTTCATGAACGAAGTCTCAAAGTTTTGTTGAGAAACCACAGCTAATGAAGCTCAACTGTGTTGCGTAGCAGGCAGTTAACCACCTAAGGCAATGTTACAATGGACTGACGGTCCTGGGTCCTGGATACTCACTGTCTTCGACAAGTCCAGCACTGAAATGAAATAACCATCTAGTGCTTCGGAATTTCCAGTAGTACTACAATACTGATTTAGTTTATGATTTCAATAAAGATCGGTATACTAATTAGACTATAAAAATGAAGATAATTAAAAGTTTCGCTACTTATCATTTCTGATATTCTTTTTCGTTAATACTAGTATCAGCATAATCATCTCAAGTTCGTTTACTCGAATAGCATATATATTGCACAATTTTTAGCAAGAAAAACAACAGGTACAATATCCGATGAGACATTTACACCATCTAACAACAATAATAACTGTTATACACTGAAAAAGTTTCCAACAGACTGATTCAATGCATTCAATAAAAAACGAATTCTCATGAGTCGACATGAAGGTCAAGGTATAGTTCAAAGTCAACCGAAAATCCTAAGTACACTAGATGCTTCACCACAGCGAGAAAATAAAAAATTATCCATAAATAATATTAAGACTATGTATTTGAATGATGTCGATAATGAGGATTCAAATAGTTTGATCAATGCGGGACAATCACCAGATTCCACTGTATCAAATAGTACACATAATAAATGTGATGACAAATCAATAGTTAGCAGTAATATACTACTACTGAATACCCCTGAAATAGTTTCACAATATCCTGATAAATAAATAAACATTGCATTACTTTCATGATATTTGATAATATTCATCAATATACCTCTGAATAATGAAAAATAAATATTTGTTCATTCAACAGTTATTATAAGTAATGTTTACCAAGGATTAGGAATTTGTGATAACCTCTTATTCATTATTACTTGCATGCTATTATTTCTTATTATGGAGTGAATTTATCCGTAACTTATTAGTATTCGTTTACTGATTTCTTCGAAACAATTCATTAAAATTGTAACAGAATGGTAATATTTAGGTATTTAATAAAGATGAATATATATCATGAAACAGCGAGCACAGTTCACTTTTGAATATCAACAACGGGGAAATGTAAATAATTATCCCTGATAGTCAATATCATACGAGTAAGACAAGTAAATCGCTACCTGGATTCAGCAACTTAATGATTTATAGAAAAGTGTTTGAATCGTTTGGTACTAAACTGAGGTCTCAGAGTAAGCGTATCAAAGAAATGCACACACCAATCTAATGCGTTCTTAACAGAATGAAATGCATACTTTAGATTTCATTATTAAAATTCATGTAGCTAAGATGAGTGGATGGATATGTTATCCTGAGAAGTCCCTACAAAGTTAAACGACCGTTCATGTTTTCACTGGTATTCTAGCTAGGATCGGTTTGCGATCTAAACTATGATAATACTACAGTCCTTACGAATTCACCTGTACTGTCATAAATATGAATTTATATCAATTATATTGAAACATATTTTGTGCCTTATCCCAGTCATTATGAATACCAGTTCCGTTTCTCTTAGCCGTCTCAACTTTACTACTAAAGTAGAAAAGGATTCATCTTTTGTTGCAATAAGCCCACATAGTGAAGAACCTATTTCTGCTTTCTTTGCCAACTGTTACTAGCTCCTTCTTGAGCCAGTAGGAAGATGTTATATATCAGTAGGAAGTAATCTCTTATTTAATAATCGACAATAAGTCTTCGCGCATTGTCCATAAATTTCGTGTTTTAAACCTTACTACTTAAAAAGTTTAAGTAGGTTGTTTTTAGTCGTAAAATTAAACAAGATACGAGAGTTGAATTTAAGACCATTGAAGACCCATAAAAATGAGATGCTAATTTCCCCCTAGCATGAGAATCCTCAGCCAAAGGCATCCAGGAATCAATAATATGACTCCAGCTCGCGCGAACAACCTTTGAACCTCAAGATCAATAAGCCAGGATACAGTGGTGTACAAGTTTATTTTCAACCAATACGTAACTATCTTCTATTGTCTCTGGAACATAAATTCTGATGCAATTTAAGTTCAGTGGTCACGGAATCTTGCTATAACTGCCGAAAGTTTGCTTTTGAAAAAATTTGTTTGAATCCATGTTGTGTGGTCATGTATGCGTGCTACTTAGGATCCTCGTACCAGGAAGAAACAGGTGCCTACTTCCAGCTAAAATTAAAAGATTAACTAGTTTATATCGGTACGTGGTTTGTACTAAGTTCCTAAGGTTAAGTTAATATAATAGCTTAGTAGATAAGACAGAACATTAACTAACTAAGACATGAAAATTAACTGTTCACTCGCTAGGATTAGAATCAATTTATGTTGTGTTTTAACCTTCTGGAAAGCGGATAGCCTTGACTTCACAGCTAATTGAAAGTCCTCAGAACCACTGATAAGAGTTTAGCAGTTTCATTATATACAACCTTTGAATATACTGTTAAATCATGTAAAACCATACATTTTCTATCCTGCTTAACCTGTTTATCTATCAGTGAATTAACTGAATTTATACATGTCAGACGCAAAATTCTATTTCATCTTCCTGTAAAAGTCAGTGGGTCTGTGGACTATTTGAACCACGCTTTGACTGGCACTTGTCAGAGGTTGCTTCGTATTTGTGAGGGTTGCGTGGTATGATACTGTGATGGGAAAATCTATGTAGAAGAGGTTTCCTTCTACGTAAGGGGCTTCAGGACGGTCGATGACGGTTTTGTCCTTATTCCCGTTCTGATCAGTCTTACAATGGTTAGATTGGCGATGAAGTATTGTATAGAGCCATTTCTATAGGTGGCGTATTGTATAGTGGTATACAAACATGTATGTACTCAGTTAGAAGATTGGTTGGCTGAAAACATCAGTTGATTGGGTTTCATTGGATTTATTGTGTTTGTAATCCTGCCCGAGCAACAGTTTAGATCTCGATAACTTGGAGATGAAGGAAGTCAAACTAATGTGCCACACATGAATTCAACTGTATTTCGTTATGAATAGCAGAGGATCAATCTGCTGTGGTATGTTTGCAGATGAAATTAAACGTTTAAACTATCCATGAGGCCATTATACCAAAAGGTAAGCGATCGTTTGGAATTGTTTAATTGCTATGCGTGATGTAAAACAAGATTTTTGGACTTCTGTATATT